CCTCTTTTTCTCCCAACCTACCTGTTGAGAGCGGGTCCTCTCCACGCCACGAGGCGAACAAGATGGACGCCCCTCTCCCTCACACCAGAGGAGTCAGGGACTCGGTGGCTCGACTCTGCGGCTGCGGGTTGAAGATCTCGGGCACAGACACACACCAGGTCTGCTCGTCCTGCCTCGGGCTGGAACACGCCAGAGGCGCTATCGACAACCCCGGCTCGTGCGGACATTGTGTCCGCTTCACCGTAAAGAGCCTCCGCCGACGGCTAGCACGCCAAGCTAGCCTGTCGGAGCAGGAACCCCCCATGTCCTCTGACCTGCCGGCCGGCAGTCAAGACGCGGGGACATCTGCCACAGAGAGTGAACCCCTCTCCATGTCGGTCTGGGGCTCAGTATCTGCGATGGCCGCAGAACCGGATTCCCGCGCCCTGGCAGGCCGGCGGCAAGACACGCGGGAATGGGACCCCACGCTTTACCGAGCTGGGGCTCCCGGTTAGACCTCACCATGGTCTCACCCGCGGAGGATGTCCTCGAGCTTCACTACGACGAGGACGAAGAGGACGCCTCGGTGTTCCTCCTGTCCGAGTCGGATGAACATGAAGAGGACATCTTCATGTCATCGGCTGGGACGCTTACACATGAGGGAGTTTCAGCGCTGGGTGGCCGCCCTAAAACTAAACCCCGCGCGCCATGGCGCGGAGAGTGATGGTTACTGTGAAATGCGTAATGGCACTGCGCCACTGGCTGCACCCGACTTTTCTAGTACGAGGTGTGCCTATGGGTGCTGTCCTTTCACGGAAAGTGGTCACCACGGACGCATGTCTGACAGGTTGGGGAGGTATTTATGAAGGTCGCCCGGTGAGGGGTCTCTGGAGCAGAGACCTCCAGCGGGCGCACATAAATTACCTGGAGCTTTTAGCGGTGTTTCTCACCCTAAAACGCTTTCTGCTTTTCCTCAGGGGACATCACGTCCTCGTGAGGACAGACAATACGACCACAATATCGTATATTAACCGCCAAGGGGGTTTGCGTTCTCTCCAGTTACACACACTGTCGCGCAAACTTATCCTATGGAGCGGTAGGCGTCTCCTCTCTCTGAGAGTGACGCACCTACCGGGAGTGAGGAACCTCGGGGCAGATCTACTGTCCAGAGGTATACCACTTTATGCAGACTGGACTCTACATCCAAGGATTGTGAGCCAGCTGTGGGTGCGTTACGGCAGAGCCGCGGTGGATCTGTTCGCATCGAAAGACAACGCTCAGTGTCAGCTGTTCTTTTCGATGCGCGATCTAAATGCACCGTTAGGCGTGGATGCACTCGCGCATAATTGGCCCCCGGGCCTTCTGTACGCGTTCCCACCCCTGGCTCTGATACCCCCAACTCTGGCCAGAGTGAGAGAGCAACGCCACACACTTATCCTGATAGCTCCGCACTGGTCAGCTATGTACTGGCTAGCGGAGATATATCAGCTGCTGTGCGGGCAGCCATGGCAGCTCCCACTACGCAGGGACATACTGTCCCAAGCGGGGGGGGCGATCTTTCACCCACACCCAGAGCGCTTGGCTCTATGGGCCTGGCCCGTGAGTGGTACAATCTAAATACAGTGTGACATGACGCTGACCCTGGCAGCTGCCAAGCGAGCCAGTGGCACTCATGCACTATCTGTACAGTTTTCATGCACTCAGTTTGCCCCAGGGCAAACAGAGTGTGGTTGAAGCCTGACCCTGCCTTTATCTTAAGGCGGTCGGTTCGGGTACCACATTTGACATTAAGGCATCCTCCCCGCCACTGTATTCCTCCGGGGAACAGCGGCCGGATTTGCCGTGTCCAGCCCGTGCTTCACGCACGTACAGGGACAGATCAAGGGTGCTTTGTCATAATGACCAACCCCTTGTGTCCTGGGCTAACCCTTATAAGGGCAAGCCTGTTACTAAGCAACGGCTCTCCCACTGGTCTGTGGAAGCAATTGCTTTGGGGCTCATACGAGTCAGAGTTCACAGGCACCCTCGGGTCCGCGAGCGCTTTCGACTCAGAGTCTGGCTGCATTCTGGACTCTGTCCAAGATGTCTCCCATCAAGGACATTGGTGCAGCGGCGAGCTGGTCCTCGCCGCTCACTTTTGTCTGCCTCCTAACAGGCTGGACGTTCTGCTCCCAGTGTGACTCAAGCAGTGCTGGGCACCTGGTTGAGTCAGAGCTCTACCTGTTAAGTTCTGGTTGGTTTGGTGATTTTCGAGATAAGCTCGTCTGGCAATACGGGAGCTACAATTTCCCATAGTGAGACATTTAACGGAGTGTTATGAATGAGAACTATAGGTTACTTACGTAACCCCAGTTCTCAGAGTAACATGAAGTGAGATGTCTCACCAGACGGCCCTCCTTGCTATGGTGAAGCGAGAAGAGGTGCTTATTTTGAATGGCGCATGCGTTGTGGCGCAAGCTACTTATAGGGGGTGATTTCCCTGACGCTGACGTCAAGATCTCCAGCCAATCAGGATTGGCGTAATGAGATTGATGCTTCTGTTTGCTCCGCGATGAGGCGCATCCCATAGTGAGACATCTCACTTCATGTTACTCTGAGAACTGGGGTTACGTAAGTAACCTATAGTTTTTGCGTGGCTGTGTCTTAGTTGTAAGCCCAGTGGCGATCTGTTCATCTGACATACTGATCATACAGACAGTCAATAACTTTGTTGTTATTAGCATCTGGTTAGCTAGCTATGCTAACAAATATAAGAAGCTTTTTCTACAACCAGTGAGGTAAAGGCACATCTTTACATGATCATTATAGTTGTAAAAAATTAAGAGAATAAAGTAAACAGGTATAAAATTCTATATGACAGTAAAAAAAAGTTGTTATTAATAAAACAAGAATACAGTTTGAAAGGGGAGTGATTTGTAAAATATCCATAAAGAAAAATAAATCTGCTTACAGTTCTGTTTCATATGGGTGTTGAGAGATGTATCCATATAGCTCCTAATTTTGCTCTCAAAGTGCACCAGATTGATGCTTTTAACTTCAACATTTAAAAAATAATCTTCCCGGGGGAGCATGCCCCCAGAGCCCCCTAGAGGAGGTTAGGTCCCCCCCCCACTTAAATCATGTCCACATGGATAGGAAACTAAATACATTTGCACACATCTTGTGTCCATATCTTTCTGTTTTGGTGGTCATGGCACAACCGTGCACGTGAATGCATGCGCGAGTCATGGTAAAATATCTGGATTAAGAGGTTGCTTTTTCTTTGCACACCATGAAAGAAAGGTGAAATTAATGGGCTGTGATTTTAGTATTTTTAAGCAGAGGTCAATAATTTGTACGGCCCTCGGAGGATGTCGGCAAAATTGAAATGGCCCTTGAGAGGAAAAAGGTTCCCCACCCCTGCTCTACACTGTATACTACTAACCCTTTTCAATGACACCTTCTGCTTCATGATGTCAAAAATGATTGATTAGTGCATCTTTAAAAACCGGTCATCTGCCTACAGACCAATTTTCTGAAGTGCTCAAGCGAAAAAACATTTAACCTACTCCAAGCTGTTAGAAATGGCATGACTCTGTTTGTCCAGCAGCTTTGTATTGCATGTTGGTGCAGTGCTTGTGCAAATACATACCGTACAGTACTATATACATGGAGAACAAATTATCCGGAAAGACCATCCGGTTTATTTCTGGGAAGCCCTGGCCTCTCTGTCGCCCCTCTCTTCCAGGAAGTAGAGGGACACACTTAGCAGCAGCACAATTATGTTTTTATGTGACAGGTGTTTATGGGATCCACAGAACACGCAGAAATACTGTGTGATTAATTGCATCATGCTAGTGGTGGTGAGATCTTGGTTCAATTTATAGCCTGCCATGAGAAATGACCTTGGCCTTTTTTGAGTGTACACTCACTTTCAAAAGCAAACGTAAACCAGTTATATGATGTACATTAACTTCATGTGGAGGATGACATGGTGCTTTTAATTTTAAGGTATATTTTTCCTTTACTGCATAAACAAATAGTATACTCTGGGATGAATTCTGAGATACTAAATGTGCTTGTGTGTGTGATCTCTGGAAAGTGCCCCACTTTCCGCCTCCTCTGATGCTCCATGCCTCAGTGATCACAGAGCTGTTGTGGGACGGGCATTCTCTCCAGGCGGCTGTCATTATTATTCAGGACCCGGGAAATGATTTTCACAAACTGTCCTCTGACAGCTGAGCAGAGGCTGGGGTTAAATTGGCTACAGACCCACATGGCTCTGCTGCCCTTCTGAAGAACATATCAGTAAGAGAAACTAGTAGGTCAATGACAGATAAATGAGGTGTCAAAGAAAAAGTTAATTTTAGCCCGCACACTGTACAACAATTTCCAATGACGTAACAGCATATCCACCCAGGAAGAAATATATACCATGCTTTATTTTCTTTCAGACTGCTGCATTACGATTGCCTATGTTATAATGTGACATTACTGTGGCTACATTAGAGCTGCTATTGGTGTGCTGTTGACTTCGGGAATAGAGCCAAGTTAATTTTACACATGAGGATGAGGTTACTTATAGCGCTATATTTGGCATAGACAAAATGTTACATATACATACAGTATGTTTGCATATTAGCATATGCCAAACTGAAAAATAGCTGCATTTAGATGTGTTGATTTGATTGAGCTGAGAACGTTTGTGACAATTCAGAGACTGTGGACAATGTGTGGCCCCTGGTCTTGGCAGGGCAGGATAAGCTCTGTCAGTCTCATGTTGTGAGGCGAAGGGCTGTGACATTTAAATCTGTCCCGCTGAGAAGGATGAGTTTGTGTGTGTCTTGCCGTGTGGGTCACTGTTTTTCTTTTTTAGGGCAGCAGGGGTAAGAGTTTTGGAGAGGGGCTTGTAGAAAATGTTCAAAATGTCATGGCTTTTTACACTGTTTCACTCTGAAAAGGTGACTCTCTCTTTCTCTCCCCCCTGTGTCTCTACTGGCTCTGTCTATCTTCCTGTCCGTCTCTCTGTCTCTGTCTCTCAGATAAGTTGTTTGGAAAGCGGCTGCTGCAGGCTGGGAGACACATCATGTCTCATAAGTCTTGGATGAAGACGGTGCCCACGGAGAATTGTGATGTCCTCATGACATTTGCAGGTCAGGCACTTATAAATGTTCACAAATTTGTATTTCTATATACTAATTTCATATCCTGTTAACCCTGGCCGAAATTATTTTGTGATTACGACTTTATGGCCCAATTCCAAACCAATTCCCTACACCCTACCCCTACATACTACCCCTCCGTTCGTGGGAGGGTCCGCCACATTAAGTGCTGTTCCAAACCAACGAGTGTGGAGCGGTGTGGAGGGGGAGTGGGCTATCAAGCCCTCAAACAGCGAGTCTGCATCGGTGTTGATTTGCTGACCGGTCTCTACCTGACTGGTCTCGACGCTGTGTGTGTCCGTCAGGAAACACGCTGTGTACAAGTAGTTCCAGCAAACATCCACTGATAAACTGCGATGTTAACAACCTCATGATAACCTCGTATTTTTTAACTTAGGATCATACCTGTGTTTAGTCTAGAAAAAGGTAAATGTGTGCATTTTATTATAAAGTTGTGTGTATTTACAGACTGTTGCAAAAACTACATGTAAGAAGCTTATAAAAATCAGGTTTAAAACTAAAAGAGCTTTACAAAAAAGTTTACATTTTTTGTCTAAGAGATGCTGATTTGAAACCGTTGCTACATACAGTTACGGCATTTCCTGTTTCTGCCGGAGAGGGGAGTTTGTCCCAAAGCTTGCCGCTGTATTTACTCCCTCCATCTGACAGGAGGGAGCCTCGTTGAGCTGCGAGTGTCACTCCACGGAGTTCACTCCATCACGGAGGGGGAGTGTGTAGGGGTAGGGTGAAGGGCGTGGTTTGGGATTGGACCGATATTACTCAAGATATGCTAAATAATTACTTTACCCTGAATGTTGTTCAGAAACAGACAATGTATTGTATCACAGAAAGCACACACATTGTTCAGTAAACATATTTTTTGTGAAAAATAATAATAAAACTCAAAATAAGGTAGACATTTATCACAAGGTCCTTACAGATCTTTCTCACATGATAATTTCAGTATTTTGAAATAAATTGGGCTCTAATTCTCGTTTCTCTACCAAAAGAGCAAGCTAGGCAGCTTTTTCAAATCACTCGCGAGGATGTTCGTGATAATTGGATATTTTCATTATTTTCTAGAACCCCAATTAATAATTTCTAATTGTTGCTGAAAACTTAATTTAAGCTCAAATGTATATTAGGTTTTTATTTTTCCACTAAAGAACAGCCTGAACGCTGAACATAACGTTATATAATGTGGATAATAAAGATAAGGATCATGACAGTATTGATCGTACTTCTTCATTTCATTTCCTTCGCCATAGCATGAAGGTTGCAGAAGCTTTTTATGGCCAGATTGAATCTCTGCAGCAGCTAAGAAAGCAGAGAAGAAGTCATTCTATATTGTTTGTTATTACGACTCTTAACCTCCAGCTGCTGCTCAGCAATAAATGGTACAGGACTGTGGGAGTACTCCCTGCAGCTCGTGTTTACGATGATGCGTGGGCCTAATCATTTTTTATTTCCTGCCACAGACTCTATAGATGACCACACGTTGCTATGGCTACTGAACCACATCCGGCTGGGAATCCCAGAGCTCATCATCCAAATCCGACATCACAAGCACACGCGAGTCTATGCGTTCTTCGTCACCGCTACGTATGAAAAGTAAGCACTCTCTTCAAATGTTGGCTATTGTGAGCCACACATTTTTCAAGGTTGTTTTTAGTCATTAATATCTTATGGCTTAATCTTGACAGTATAACTGCAACTAAGTGAACATTTATTAATCCCCCTTTTTATTGAGTACTTTTTTGAAAACAAAATATATAGCCATCTAATAGGGAAAATCAACCAGCTTCTGAAAACGGTATAGTTTATAAGAGTACATACAGTAGAGTCGAGATTGAAACGTTTAACCTTCTCATCTTTTTCCCTTTGTGTATTTATATGTCATCTTGATCTAAGCAAGAAAGTAGATAGATATCGAAACCATTCATTACAAATGTATTAAACACAAAACATACTGTAAAGATACTTTTTTAAGCTTCAGCTGAAAAATATTAACTACTGTCTGGTTGCAGGTATAATGTTGATATTGCTGGTTAAACTGTAGTTGTCTATTAAATACCCTATCAGCCTGAAATACAGGCAAGAAGCCACAGCAGTAGCTTTTGAAAATGAAATGGTAGTTTGTTGTTTAGTTATGTTTTAGCTACCACTGGAGTCGGGATGTCAAAGCCAAAGATATGCGTAATGTTTAAGACCTTTATCAAATTGGCATTATATTTGGCTGCAGCTATCATATAGCATGCAGAGTTGTTAAGCTCATACACAGTGTATAACTAGTCAGGCTCCCTCAATGGGATGCCTGATTTTTACTGTATAAGCACCACCGCTAATAGCTGCAGGTTATTTAAACTGTGCAGAAGGTTAGTCAGCCTGAACAGTGTAGATTGCATTTTATTTGATTACAGTGCCCACACACTCACTCACTCTTGTTTTGAAAATATCTCCAGGGGAATTGGGGATGAGCCCAGGGTCATTTTAATCTCAGCATTGACTTTGATATATAAATACTGAGAAATACAATCCAGGGGATCAGGGTGGCACTTACTGTGCTATACTGCGTTTCATCTCTTGGTGAATGTAGAGTCCTCTCTGCTGACTGTGCATTTAACAATGGGCCACTTGAAAAAAACAGAATGCCTCAAACAAACCTATTACCAATGAATGTAATAGGAATAGACAGATGGCTGGAAGAAATGAAGAAAGAAAGGCAGATAGAGGCAGATGCTAAGAGAACAAGAGAGAAAGAGATCGGAGTAAACCAGAAAGACAAAGGGAAAAACAACAGGGAGGGTAATGTGGTAGGAGGGTGGAGAGAGTGCTTTTGGAAAGTGTGCCAGTGAGTTTTTAGATGAAATCCTCAAGTAAAATCATTTCTGTGTGACAAAAAGCACAGCCTCCTCTTTTGCAAACAAAGACACCTGCTGTTGGAAAAGTTGACCTACATTTCATGAGATAGAAGAGATAAAGTATTTCATCCTTCCAATTTCATCTTGAATAGTCATTTTCTAAGCATTCTAGAGAAGTGAGAATTTTCCTTTCAACCCCTACAATGTGAGGATACCAGCTTTTCTTTGCCGTTAACTGTGGGCTTTGTTTGTATAATGCGGACAACTTTAATGTCTTTATTTTCCTTTGTGTTTTTAAAGGAAGAGGGTATAAGTATAAAAAAACAAGGTAAAAAAACAAGGTATTAGCTAAAAAGCTGTGTTATTGCTCTGAAAACAGTATACAAGTATATTGTATAATTTCATTGTAGCAATTACCATACTCTATGCAAATATAAAATATGAAAATAGCTCCTCTTCATTTTTTCCTAGCTGATATACCATACATTAGTCCTTCCGCAGCTCTGACTGGGCAGCATCCTGTTTCTGCTGATGCTCCACATTATGTCTGAGAGATATTTGCTATATTAGCATAACCTTACGTGCAGTGCCTAAACAATATTCTGCTCTTTTACAAGGTTAGTTTTGTCCACACATGCCCTTTGACTGTGTCTCCAAGTTAAGACTCCTAGTATTTGGGGAAATGTAATTGGGGAGTTTTTAATGAAATAACAAAAAGGTGGAAACTCATCAAGATTTCTGGCACCTCTGAAAGCCTTGCAGTTATTGGCTTGAATGGCTAAACAGTTGGTTTAAATAGATACAGCCTTTTTTCTCCCCTCAGTCAAGGACCTCTGTAGAGATGCTGCGCACTAAGCAGTATTCAGCGGTGATACAAAAGCTTACACCTCACATTTCTGCTGTAATCAATCATGGTGCTGGACGTACTTCACTGTGCGGCCTGAAGCTGCATGATGGATGGATGTTACAGGCCCACCTGGGCTTTGCTCCTGCATGTGTGTGTATAAACTATATATACATGAACATGTGACAGAGAAAGGTGAGCAGTTTGCCTGGAGGGAACTGTGGGCGTGGTGCTGCATTATTAGTGCGATTTCAGCACAAAGCCTGTGGCAAGGACAGAAGGAGAGGAGAAAGGGCTGATGGGATAAAGAAAGAGGAGGGGGAGAAGGAGACAAAGGACGGGACTCTGAGAAATAACAGGGTAAAGAGAAGGGGAGAGTAGACAGAGGGGCTGTATAAGGGAGGAGGAGGGAGGGAGGGAGGGAGGGAGGGAGGGAGAGAGAGATGAGAAACATAGAGGAAGGGCTGATGGGTATCCAGATGATGAGAGAGAGTGATGAGGTTGAAGCATTAAGAGGAGGAGAGTTCAAATGACTTTAACACTATGAAGGTCTCCGCTAATGGTATTGTTTGCTGTTGGTTTTGATAATTCCATAAAAAACGGACCCAGTACACTGTGGTCATTTCCAGTATACTGTTTGCTACGCATCTAGAATTTGATTTCTATAATCTATTCATCCACTTGACTGCAACTGTTTTCATTATTGATAAATCAGATTTTTGACAAATGTATTGCAAATATAAAAAAAATGCTCAGAGCTCAAAGCAAGAGCTTCAAATTGCAGAACACCTACAGTATTTCTGTAAAAGTATAAAAACTAGTAAATAATTCTCTCCATGTTGTCCTGCAGTTTGTTGCGAGGTGCTGAGGAGATGGGACTGAGGAAAGCTGTGAAGCACGAGTTTGGAGGAGGAACCCGAAACTTTTCCTGTGAGGAGGACTACATCTACGAGAACATCGAGAGTGAGCTGTGTTTCTTTACCTCACAAGTAAGTGTCAGCGCACACACACCCAAATCACACACACACACACACACACACACACACACACACACACACCCATACCCTGTTTTTCAATCTTACCTTGTTGCTGTTAAACTACTGAATTTCCCCACGGGGATTAATAAAGGTCCATCTCATCTCATCTCATCTTAAGTTAATATGCTGATATGTCAAGACATCACCTGATTTGACTCTCTCCTTGTCTTGGTTGCTGCAGGAGAGGCAGAGCATCATTAAATATTGGATGGACAATTTACGTGCCAAACATGGGGAGGTGCTGCATAATATCAACTTCCTGGAGGGTCAGCCAATCAGTAAGTGTTATTCCTTTATAGTAAAGCTCTGTGATACATGTGTTTACTATCAATATCGATTATAAATCCCTCAGTTGGTTTTAAAAATAGTTTGAGGCATCATTTTTGATTGATTTCATATTATATTTTAGCTGATAGTTTTATCTTTATATATCGAATCATATCTACTCTTCTTTTGTTAATGCATCTATCTCTAGAAAATTAAATGCACAGTCATTTCTAACTTACTTTATTATTCCCGACAGTACCGGAGCTGAGTGCACGAGGTGTGATCCAGCAGGTGTTTCCTCTTCATGAGCAGAGGATCCTCAGTCAGCTGATGAAGTCCTGGGTCCAGGCTGTTTGTGAGAAACAGCCTTTAGGTCAGTAGAACAAATGGACAAATGCACTCTTACATATACAGTTCATAACACTTAGTACAACCACAACACTTGAGAAACCAAGCTCATGCTTCCCTGTTATATATTTTAGCAGTCACGTCGTGTCATACTGTAGCATCCTTTGCAATATGTACTTTTACATTTGTTTTTACAGATGATATCTGTGACTATTTTGGGGTGAAGATTGCCATGTATTTTGCCTGGCTGGGATTTTACACCACTTCCATGTTGTATCCTGCTGTGATCGGATTTGTGTTGTGGATGCTCACTGAGTCTGATCAGGTGAGAAGAGAAGCTATAATAGCCTTAAAAAACTGAAATCACCAAACAAAAAAGGTCACCTGAGCGTTTGTGTTGTTTCAGACGAGTCGTGATATCTGCTGCGTGGTGTTTGCACTGTTCAACGTGGTGTGGGCCACTCTGTTTCTGGAGCGGTGGAAGAGGAGGGGGGCTGAGCTGGCATTCAAGTGGGGAACACTGGATACGCCGTCCGAATCGCTGGAGGAACCACGGCCTCAGTTCCGGGTGAGAGAAACAAAACCTCTGACTCCTTCTTCCATCTTCATATCCTCTTCGCTCTCAGGCCCAATCTAAATTCTCTCTCTCCTTATTTCTGTCAGGGAGTCAAGCGCTGCAGTCCCATAACAGGATGTGAGGAGTTCTACTATCCTCCATGGCGGAGGCGTGTGTTCAGGTGGCTGGTCAGCCTGCCCATCTGTATCCTCTGTCTCTGCTTTGTCTTCCTGGTCATGCTCATCTGCTTTGAGCTGCAGGTCGGTCATGCTGCTGTCAGCATCTGTTTTTTACGTGTCCTGCTTGTTAAAATGTAGCATACATGTCTTAGCTTAAGCCTGCATCTGTCCTTGTTTATGTTTGGTAAGATTATTTGCATGGGTGAATGTAATGAAGCCTGTTGAACACCTATATTTTAGTTTTTCTCGGATGTGATGGGTAAAAAGCTGTAATTGTGTCTCTGCAGGAGTTTGTGATGGGGATCAAGGAAATGCCCCGGCTAGCTCGCTTTATCCCAAAAATCATGCTAGCTATCACTGTGACTGCATGTGACGAGGTGTACAGGAAAATCGCCTGCTGGCTCAATGACATGGGTGAGAGAAAAGTTATCAGATTCCTCCAGATCTACATACACGTCAGAGCAGATCATTTCTTATAGAAGTTCATCTTAATAAAATTGCTTTCATCTGAGATTCATTGATTTTATTTTATATTTTCCCAGAAAACTATAGACTCCAGAGTGCCTATGAGAAAAATCTCATCATCAAAATGGTTCTTGTGAGTAGCTTTGATCTAATATCTAAAACTACCCATGAGATTAAGAAACATGTTTATTTTCAAATTCCTTTTCACATAACGCTCTTCTTAATGACACCTGATATTTCTTTCTCTTGCAGTTTCAGTTTGTAAATTCTTATCTCAGCCTTTTTTACATTGGATTCTACCTCAAAGACATGGAGCGCCTGAAAGAGGTAAGAAACATCCAAAGCTCAAATGTTCCTCTGTCGCACATTAGCTTCAGGGAATTCATTTGGCCTCAACATCTGTCATTCTCCCATCCTTAAATGCTTTGCTTTCTCTGCTTACATCCATTTATTTCCATAACCTTCCATCCCCATTTCCTATCCCTTTTCCCATCTGTGGAAGATGCTGGTGGTGTTGTCTCTGATAAAGAGTCTGCAGCGGCAGATCTACGACAATATGCTGCCTTTCATATTCTTCAAGATCCAGATGCTTATGATTTCTGATCCCTGGTTCTTCAGCTCTTTTATCAAGTCCAAAGTATGCTCCCTGTACATCCTCTGTCTGGTCTAGAGGTCTATGGTCCCTCTCTGACCACCTCGCCCCCCACCTTGCATGCTCTATGTCGATCTGGACTTGAACTTGAAGCACAAACCTGCTTTTCATAAAGTTATAAAGTGTGTGTTCTGTCTGTATCTGTCTTGTGAAACCTTGCTAGATTCAAAAAAAGATTTATCAATACAAAATGTCTTGCGTCTGAAAATGATCCAATTTTTTGTAAACACACTTTTACCAGACAGAATGATGATGGATGAGTGGTTTGATGAGGGAGAGAATTTAATATGTAGCTGTCAGAGATAGTGTCTGATTTCTACCGATGATTCGTTTTGTTTTTTACTGGTCTTGTCACAAATTGTCTCCTCATCTGCATATATAAGCAACAGCAGTTTTTTAAGAAACAACACCCAGCCTTCATACTAACATCATTTCTAAGTCTGAGTGTCTGTTTTAGATACACCCTCAGAGGGCCACCTCATTTAGCTTATTCTAACAAGTACAGCCCAGTTTCTATTATTTGTCAAAGTATATTTACTTTGTATAAACAGGATTTAATATTGTAGTTAAATCAATAGAAAGCAATAGCTGTCCAGTACCAGTACAGTAGGAAAACACAGTGTAGTCCTTAAAGTATCTGAAATGGAAAACATCTGTTGTTCATGTTTTATTCTCAGGAAGACGTTGTGTTTTTTGTTTGCATTTTGTGCTTTTAACTTGGAAACAATTACTTTGTGATGCTGCAATTCGTAGTATTTGTATTTTTAGCTGTATATTCAAGGACTGAAGACATAATCACTGCTCGGTTTTGAGTGTTAGAAAAGCATAACTCTGGGTTATAACAACATGGCTTCTGGCAGAGGTTATAAACATCAATAGGTTTAACACAAATTAACTTTATTTCAAGGTAAAAAAAAAAACCCTGTATGAAGGTCTGATGACTTGTGTTACTTTCTTTTGTCAGACTTCTCTTTTTAATGTCAATATGATCTGCAATCAACTTTTTTATTCGTACACTTTTAATACACATAGCACTGAAGCTTTAACTCTTTAAATATACTCAAGTTGTTGTAAGCCTGAATTATCCTAAAAGTTAAGATTTGTTTTACATCCTGTTGTGTGTGATTTGGATTTGGATTTGTTCAGCAAGGAATATGTATTGAATGTCCATGTTCATGTCCTCGGCCTCAATGCACCATATGCCAATGAAATGTTTGCTTGTGGATAATCTCTGCATACATATTTGTCTTTAGGTTTATTTGTTAGCAACTCATTTTGTGTATGTTTCTCACTGTCTTTGTCAGATGCTGGCCACTCTGCTCATAATACGGCAGTTTCTCCAAAATGTGAAGGAGGTGCTGCAGCCTTACCTGTATGAGCGCCACAAGCTGGGCGAGCTCACACTGCGAGCGCTGTGGGACCTGCTGATCTCAGTGCTGCTGAAATACGCCCGCCTAGCAGCTGGAAAAGCCCAGGTCTCTCCCACCGACCACGCCATGCCAGGACCTGGACTGAGGGGCACCAGGCCTGGGTTTAGGCATCTAGATAGAAGGTGAAACACAATATTTGATATCTTATTAGATTAATAAATCCATACACTTCAATAAAATGCACATGTCAAATTTGGGGTCAAACCTTTTTAAGCAAATCCATCCATCCATCAGTATGATTACAATGAAGCGTTTACAGTCATTCACACCAACACTCAAAGTATTAGTCCCAACAAACAGACCTGCTCTGCCACTTTATCTACTCTTGACATTGTATGTGCGCTGCCTGCAGTTATGAGTCACTCCAGTTGCACACTGAGGAAATGGACAGCGCTGTGAGTGGTTAAAACACACACTCATTTTTTCTGATGTGTCTCTTCAATTTCTCTCAGGGAAAAGAAGTGTTTAAATGGAGGATGCGGGGTGCCTGATGAAGAAGAGGGAGGTGAGAAGGACGAGGCCGACAGCGGGAGGTTCAGTGAGGGAGAGACGGAGGAAGAAAATCTGCTCGACTGCGGTTTGAAGCTGAGGAAAGTCAGCTTCATAGAGAAGGTATACTATTTGTGATAAAATCGATTTAGGAAGTGTTGATGTTTTTATGCTCTGGCAATTTTCCCAACTGTTAAGAAATGTGCAAAGTAAATATAGTACATGTGTTGTTGTTGTTAAGGTGGACAGAAGGCCAGTCTGCAGTGGGCCCCCCATAGACCACAGTTACATGGACGAGGGGAGCCCCACTATGGTGGAGAAAGGAATGGACCCTTCCTCTGTATTTGAGATGTGTGACGATGACGATGATAATGGCATCCACGATGTGAAGGAGTCGGGTGGCAGAGCTAGAGGTGTGGCTGAGAGAAATAATGCTGCTGCTGCCAGCGCCGCCCCGCTGCATTCTGGGTCTGAGAGCAGCACATCAGTGCGACATAGAAGAAGAGGCAGGAGCATAGAGAGACTTGAGCCTAAGACAAAAAGGGAATCATGGATCGACCCCCCTGAAATGAGAGAGAGCAACACGCTTACTCAGGCTGAAATGGAGAGCTGCATGCAGAACTATTCTGTAAGGACTTCACACTGACCTTATGTTTTAAACTTTGCTCAGAGTTTTAAAGTATGTCAATCTTATTTTTTTGTAATTGTTATTATTCTCACTACGACCAATTGTCAAGATAGAGGTTTACACACCACCTCTGTTTTAGATATTTGGGAAGCACACATTCTTAGGGTTAAGGTTTAGGATGCTTTTACAGCTTTCCAAAGAAAACTTCAGTGAACAAAAAACTCTTGCATGTCTCTGCAGGAATCGTTCTTTCCCAAAAATCTACAACGGATGACGATTAGTTACCAATAGTCATCATAGACAAAAAAAGAAAAATTGCACTAATTTCTCTAGAAGTCTTTACATTAAACTCACATAAATGAACCCATCCTTATTTACAGTTTGAATTGGTTTATTTTAAGTTAGAAAAGATTGAGAAAGACTGCAACATGTTGTGCAATAGTAAACAAGTCAGCCATATAATTTATGTTGCCAGCTGGGTCAACACTTCACTGTCATTCTCCTTATGATTACTGTAGCTTAGTTCAGGTTTCATACATGTTGTAAACCAGCACTGCAACGTGAATCCAGCAGTCACAACACACCTCAGACATGTCTTGAGTGTGATGTGAATAACATTTGGTTGTATGCCAAAATATCATTGCTGACGATATTACAGCTAAATAAAGGGTTAACACATTTGGTACCACAGCACAACGATTTAATTTGTCATCTTTTTGCTAAATAGTAGCTTTGAGATTGTACTAACTTGTAGAGCTGTGATTTAATGGTCCACTCTGCCCCTCTCAGGACACCTTTCAGGACTACCAAGAGATGTTTGTCCAGTTTGGCTACGTGGTGCTCTTCTCATCGGCTTTCCCTCTGGCTGCCATGTGCGCTCTCATCAACAACATCATTGAGATCCGAAGTGATGCCTTTAAGCTCTGCACCGGTCTGCAGCGGCCGTTTGGACTCAGAGTGGAGAGCATCGGCCAGTGGCAGGTCAGAAACTCACTCTCTGAGAGTTAACAGTCAAAAGGTTTTTACTGTCACCCAAAGACAGGAACAGTTCGATTTCTTATAGTAATGCCGTCTTATTTAAAAAATCAACTGAAATGATAACCATCATGAAATTATCATAACATAACAGTTGATGATCATGTACCTGTGTGACTGTGTAGCAGTCATTACGTTATCATAATTGTCAATAATTGTCTGGAATTACTGAATAGAACTAAACTGAGATATAGGGGTAAACTGTCCCTTTAAGAAAACCGAATTGTTAAACTTCTTTTTTTCCTTCACAGACTGTGATGGAAGCCATGGGCTTGATTGCCATCATAGTGAACTGTTACTTGATTGGTCAGTGTGGTCAGCTACAGCGTCTGTTTCCATGGCTCAGCCCCGAGATGGCCATAATCTCCATCGTCATCCTCGAGGTACCGCAGCTTGTTCTTGAAAGTCTGGATGAAATGCTTAGGGCAGTGCTTTTACAAACTTTTATTTGAAGGTGCGAGCATTTTGTAAGCCAGCACAAAATGTATAGCTATCAGAAAATGTTCCAGGTATTAAACGTGCAAAGTTTTACTACTTTTTGTATTTCCACCTTCCTCTACTGGCTTCATTAGAAAACTACAGATGTTTTCTTTCACTGAAACAGGTTTATCTCTGATAACTACACATTGTCATCATCTAGCGACCCAGGAGATATACCAATTCGATATCAAGTTTTAGCTTCAATAACTATTTATTTTTCTATCCAAGGTACTGACAGAGTACCACATAAATTCTGTTCACACTTATGAATAGTAATGCATGAATTGGGTTTCCAATGTTCCAATCTTTATATAAAGCATGAACACATGAACTTAAGATGTCTTCATGTTTCTCCTCTTACTTGTAACATATTTAGACACAGGTTCTGTTAGCGCTGCACTCTGTGCCTGCCTATATTTGGAAAAAGGTAAACAGCCTGCAGCTCTGTCTTGTCCTGATAAAGAAGTCAGGCCTATCAGGAGGAAGATTTCACGGCCTAGTTGATGATGTGCAAAAATGTGTTCAAGTAACATACCCTTGAAGGCTTTTCTGAAGCACTGTGGCCTACATTTGATTTGTGATTGTGCTTTCAATAATTGTTTTTGTTATGTCCCAAACCTCCTCTTTCTACCTGCCTGTTTAACTGCAGCACTTTGCCATCCTCCTGAAGTATGTCATCCATGTGGCCATCCCTGACATTCCTACATGGGTCACAGAAGAGATGGCTAAACTGGATTATCAGCGCAGGGAAGCCTTCAAGGTAAATATGTGACAGCATTAGAACCAAAAATGTTAATTTGTCGTGAAAAAGTTGCAAGAAATGGAAGAAATCCACTAATAATACAGGCTGTTTGAATAAATGCTCAAAGTTTACTTTATTATGTGCAGAGTTCTGTAATGTAATAGAATATATTGCAGTAAACACCAGAGGTGCCCACCTTTCTGCTGCATACCAGCTGTACTGCAACACTGCAGCTTTTTTTGGACATATTTGTTTACTTTAAACTGATATTTTAGCAATGATATTTTAGAGAAAAACAATGTGTAGAACAATGAGAAGAGATTAGGATATAGTGGAGCTATACAGTAGTAATGCAGAATTCTTAGTAAGGGATTTGTTCTAATGGTAGCACTGCAGTATTGTAATGTGTCGCTAGATTAGTGCTGAATCTGGTAAATACATTATGGGACTGTTTCCCTTCCTCTGCAGAAGCATGAGCGACAGGCGCAGCAGCATTACCAGCAGCTGCAGAGGAGGAAGAGGGAGGAGGAGGAGAGGCAAAGGCAGGCAGAACATATGGCCCGCAGGGAAAAGGAGAGGGATGAGAGCAAGGGCGACTCCTCTGGGGATCACCACCACGATAAAAGTCACAGCAGTAAATCACGTTCTGGAGGAGGGTCCGGCAGCGGCTCGGACAAACCCAAGAGGCCCAGCTCTCTGTTGGCCAACAACAACGTGATGAAGCTGAAACAGATCATCCCGCTGCAGAGCAAGTTCTCCTCGAGTGGCGCCCGCTCACCTCAGTCACCCACTGGAACTGAGCCCAAGCTGCCCGGGTTCCTGAGTTTCAAATTCCTCAAATCACCTGAGAGTAAGAAGGAAGTCGCCGCTGCTTCTGCCGCTGCAACCACAGCAGCAAATGCCACAGCATCATCTTCATCATCAGGTAGCAGCTCTCAGGAGCGTTCTCAGTCACCCAGCAAAGCCTTCAACCCTGGGAAACTGTTTAACTTTGGGAAATCTGAGGGGGGGACCTGTGTGAACGGGGCTGTGCTGCTCAGACCCGGGGAAGGATCATCCTCACAGGCGTCAGACAGACAGCCATCCAGGTCTGACTTGAACGGTGTTCCAGACGAGATCCCCTCGCCTGGGGGGGAAGGGTCAGAGAACGGACATGCAACAGACTTGGACCCGAGCAGCTCTAAAGTCTAGTAGCTCCGGAGAGAACAGACCTGGTCGCTGGTTACATCTCCACAGCAGAAGTGATGGGTTCACTGTGAGGAGACGCCTGACCTACCTTCTATGCTATCACACACTATGTGTAGAGGTACTTGAAGCAGAGAGAGGACACAATGAAACGGATGATAGGTGACTTGTTTAGGTTTCCTTTTTTGAGGAGGAAAAAAAGACAGGCTTTATAGAAAGACATAAGCCCTCTTATCATGATTAAATAAACACACACAAACACACACACCCTACACAGACATACAAATCCTTCCTTGTCTGCAATACATAAAGAAATGCATGTGCTGCGTTTCTAATATTTTTAAGCCTTTAAAGCGAGGAGCTGTGTTTCTTGATTTCTTCTAGTCATGAATTGTAAGGATCTCGTTGACCTCTCACTAGGACATAATAGCCCGTTGAAGGAAAAAAGATATAAAAATATCAACAGTGGTACGAAAGGATTACAGATTGTACTTCAAATAACTTCTGAGAGTGTTTGTAGCCGTCACAACACAAGTGACCATTAGCTTTTGTCTGATTTTTAACTGTGAGGAATTCTTGGGCCCTTCACTTTTATATTGAAGTGAAAAAAATGGAAAAGCAATATTGGTCAGTTATAAATATTATCATCAATTATCACGCGACTCCTCCATTAATTACATCCCTGATGCATCACCAGCTTTATTTTCAAAGCAGAGGTGATGTCTGAGCTCTGAACATTTCTTCCCATCCTGTGACAGTGAGCTGATTTTTTCATAAAAAGAAAAAACTTTGTCAATCTGTCACATTCCAGTATTTTACCATGAGACCATTGGGAAAAGAGAAAAAAAGCAAAAAAAGAATGTGCAAAATGGCTGTTGAGGGCTGTTCTCCATCCAAGCCCATGGAGAGTGTTGTAAACACAGATGGGGCTCCATTGCAATCAGTCTACCCCAAACTTGGCTAGCGAGCGTAGAGGTAAATAAGTCACTTTTGCACTGAACCTGCATTAAAACAACTCGTTCTGCAGGAGAGAGGACTGACACCAGCCTGCCTCATAACATTATGCAAAAGCTGGATTTTTTTTAAATTCCTCCTTTCACACGGTACATGTTATCTAAATCACCTGGCCCTGGTTTTTTTCTACAGATGTTAATATTATTTATGTTGAGCTCCATATCTCTTTTTATACACACCATTTGCTGGATTCTTTCAGCATTGCAGTGCTGACGATGGGAGTTTTTATTTTTGAACAAAGGCGGTATTTTTCAGTCTATACTGTTAACCCAAGCTGTATGCGTGCTGTATGTTCTGTTAAACATGTACTTCAACACTGTTCCATCATCTACCATTAACAGGTATTTCACTTCTGCTGGGTCAACAGAAGGTGGCGCCAGAGCTTATTTGTATAGCAACATTTTTTTGTTAGGCAGCTTCTGATGTACTATTGAACCCTAACACCAGTGTCTAGTCATCAGTATACATCGGTCAACAACATTAGGCTGCAGATTAGGGAAGTCTTTGCAAGGAAGATGTATCATGGTTACATTTGATTAGGTACGCACTGATACACGTTTAGAGGCCATCAGACTCTAGGTTGAGACAGAAACATTAACTATGCATTTCCACACCATCACCTCTGGCTAGGATTTTGGCAATAACACTGAGTTGTAAGAGACTTACTTGTACTCCAAGTCTAGACTCCCTCACCTGCAGCACATATCCTGCAGCACTCATCCTCTACCAGACTCTATGCATTATTTCTTTCTGTCCCTGCAATGTCCACTGTCAACTCTCTCAGTTTTGCTCTTTCTCAGATTTTATAAGAAATCTTCCATGACTCAAAATGAGGTAATAAGCATAATCTCATCCTTCGTTTTCAGTATCTGTCTAGTCTAGGAGCAAAGTTGACATTGAGCATCAAACAGTTTGTGTATATTTTTATGTTGATGCTTTTCATGCGTCTGTAATTTCTCGAGGAGTATAGTCCAGCTTTAAGTCAAATGCCTAAAGAAAACACAAAAAGTACTTCCACATAGCTTACTGACTTGCAATGCAATAAGGAAATAGAAAGGGCATCCATTTTGTGTTCACAGTATCACTTCACTGTCAATCTACAGCATGTTCCTTTTTTATATTTGGAAGTCATGGCTCATTATAGATGTAACATGAGAGGTGCAAGGCTGAGAGATATGATATCTTCTATCAAAGACAGGCTGGTCATTGTTAAAGGGACGCATGGGAGAGAACAGGATGGGGTAGTAGTCTCATCCAAACCTTTATTCCTGCAGCATTTGGATTTCAGGGCTGAGTGACATTATGATGCAGTAGAGTCCATTTATTGTTGTTTCAAAGTTTGTGAACTTCTGTATTGAAAATAAGAAGACAATTTATAAGCAGAGGTGACTCAAATGAGAAAGCGGAGAAAAGAGCAACAGTTTAGGTCCTTCCTCGATGTTTGTAGTTCCTCCTTATTCAGGGAAATCTTACAATTCAACTTCATACACTACATACTTCCTCCAGGTCGGTTAATGCTATCTATTCATATCTGATTTCACCTTTGCATTCTTAACAGCAGCAACTGCAAATTGTTAACATGGAGGTTCTTAAATACGCATTGAAAGCTTGACAGACAGCACTGGGCCAAGCACAGGCTTCTCTTACATAAAGACACTAGCTCAGACAGGCCAAACTTATAAACTGTCTGTAATTCACTTTCAATGCAACAGCGTTTTTTGTAGGATTTCGGTTTATGTAGACAGTCTAATGTGAAACCAGTAGGAAAAGACTGAATGTAGTCATTGTACTTCTTGTGCTTGGGAACGGATGGGTTTCTCATTAAAAACATTAAAAACCTGACCCGAACATCTTCATGAAAGCCTCACTTACTGAACACCGTTTATTCTTCCAATGAACCACTGTAAAATAAATATCTTTTAAGAAAAATACTGGGAAATGGGATTATTTATTTCTTTTAATTTATTTTGTCATATTTTTGTAAGACCTGAACAATAGTTAATAAAACTATTTCAAATGCATTTCATGTGTGTTGTGACCAAGTTATTTCAAAATCCCAACTGCACATTCTTCATTCACAACATATTTTAGGTATCAGAACATCCTTTAAAACCAGCATTTAAGACGTGTGATCACATAAAGTACCACATGACGAGAAAAACCCAATTTCAATCCAGTTTTATTTCAGCAAGGTTTAAAGAACATATCTGATCTAACACACGAGAATGGGGCAATGTCAGGGTTTTAGACAGTCTATTTGAGTACAAGCATAATGTGGGTTTGCTTCAGAAACGGACTGCTGTGGGTAGAAAGATGACTGACCATACTGTTAAACCAACATTGCAACACTGACTGATAGAAGGACAGGAAGGACAGGAGGCTTTGATACGAGTCTGCCAGGCAGTGATGTGTTTTTGTTCAGTGTTGTATAGTATATGATACCAATACAAACTGAAGCTCGGGAACAAGGCAGGATGGCGACTGCACTTTGCTGTGCATGCTTTTTGTGCATTCTATGGCTGAAAATATAATCCACCCCCTGGTTTCATCTAAGCAAGCTCTCAGACAAAAAAACATCCAGGGCTGTCACAAAGACAGGGCGACGAGTACAGCTATCCCATGTTGAAATGTTGTAAGGCCTCTAGGCTAACACCTTATACAGTCACGCACGATAACACCACAGCCCCTTTTATTACTGATCCAGAAGTATAATACCCAGCTGTGAAAACATCAACATGCAAGACCAGGTAACATCCATTGGGCACCGGGGCGCTTTACTTTCAAATCGGTAATTTTCTATTGTGTCCGTGAGCATGTTTTATTTTACAAAAAGGCCAACACATACATATTTCATTGGATACTGTCAACTGGAACTGACACTTATTTACACACATCATTTTTATTATTTTATCCCTTTTCCAGACATTGCTTTCCATAGTTTTTAAATCACTGTCTGAGCCGTTACCTCGTTGTGCAACTAAGAAAAACAAACATTAGAAATTGTACAACTATATATTTAAGATCGTTTTAAGGTTTTTCTTCTTCTTTTGATGAAAGAGAAGCTGAAACTCACAGAAAAACCTATTCCTACTCGGCTCGAATAGCCAGAAGGTGGTGCTAGATGTAAACATATTTCACCAACACAACATTTACTCTACGAGCACGTCCCGGAATAGAATGAAGATATGAATGTTTCACCATGAACACACGTGTACAGGGATTCTGGAAGAGTTGCTTCTACTTTGTGCTGATCTTCACAGTGAAGTCTTGGTTCTGTTGAATCAAACAGTGTGGAGAAACCTCGCAATGCCCCCATGTGGTCGCAGAGTGGGCAGTGAAACTGAGAGGGTGGGCACTGTGGCTGGCAGGAAGCTCATTGCCATACATAAACAATTATAGGTATAACAGATTAAAACGTTTTCTTTGCACAAATCAGGACTCTTCAGGTGACAGAAGGCTACACAAGTCATGTACCAGTTTTGAGACTGTTTTTAAGGGTAGTGTCTGACTTGATCTGTCCAGTCCCTCTCTGATCTTAAATCTACTCGGATACTTTTCATTCACTTCACACATACTGTACACACTCACAGCTCAGCATGCATACAAACATTTCATAACCTACACAGAGAATAGCCAACATAAATAAAAGAAATGCCAGTATTTAGTTTCCAACTGACAGACGCTTTCCAATCTTTTCTGGTTACATCGTTTTCACACATGCAATCTTTACACCATAAATGGCTCCTTTGTTGAAAGATAGGAGATTCGAATTCAGGCAAGGAAAGAAATCCTACCATAATGCAGAACGACTAGAAGTATTTCATTCACTGGGAACACTGTTTGGTTGGTTTATACTGGCTATACTCTGTGTATGCAAACACACACACACACACACAGTCTTATGAGTCTTCGTTCATCTCTTGACTATCTGTCCTGGCGATTTTCCTTGGGGGTGCCGGACTGTCCCCCTCACCTTGTTCCTGTTCCCTTTTCTTTGCTGCATTCTGTGTGACACAAAGGATTACACAGCAGTCAATAAAACCATTCAAAAAAATGTTTACCTGTCAACAAGCTACCCGACTAGACTAAAGACCAAACATGACGAGGCTCTTGATGAACTGAGTTCTAAAAGAGACTGTTAGTGAGTGAAGCTACTTTCATAACATGAACTCCAAGGGACTACACATGCTCACCTTTTTGTCCCACTGCTGATGGAGGTAACGCAGGAGAATGTTGGTTTTCTCTGTTACAATAACTGTAGAACAAACAAAGTCAGCATGTTACCGAAAGAGGAAAAGCTATTTTAGATTGCAGCTTCCACAAATATTGCATGTAATGAAACAACATCACTGATCAACTACTGATAAACAAACAGCCTTAATGTGAAAAGAGACCCAGACTTTTCCTCACAGTTTTGACTTAGCTGCGAGTTTGGTACTTACTCTGCTCAGAGGGGTATTCTCGTGTTGGGAGGTACACAGAGGGCCTTCGATTCTGTGAAACAAAACAGAAAAAGGTTATAGATTACAGTTGTGGGGTCAAATTATAAATGTTTGTGTATTATTTAGTTAAGGTGTTTTGACAGTGTATGGGCTCACTTTTAGACAATTCCTAGCTTGTTATCCATACAAAACATTCATAGCATTACTATTGACAGTCTGAGGATATACATATTACCACAGGCTACTTACAGATGCTTTACAAACAGAGTCTGCATGAAACCTGCTGAAGTTGCTCTTATTGTAGACCGGAAGTCCTTTCAAGAAATCAGCCTGTGGGAAGAGGGTGAGGTGATGATTATACCCTGTGTTTCCATCATCTTGAATTTCATTTAACCTTAAAGACTGCTTGCCTCAGTTTTGAGGACACATATTCTACATTTAGAAAACAGGCTGTGGCCATTCATAACAACAATCCAAATGATCGATTGACATTAGTGGCAAGAGTTTGCTAATACAAGTGTGAGAAAGGCGGAGGGTGGTAAGAAACACAGATGAGGAGCACATGAATGTAGACAGAGGATTACTATCAGTGAGTCGGGGTTGGGCGTTCCCTCATCTGAGGAGCCCATGCACGCTCAATGGCCTACTGCCCTCACTGTGCCCAGCAGGAGGTGGTGATATCAGAGAGTACATGCAGCAAGTGGTTTCAAATGAGCAAGTCAGAGCTTAGCCGCTCAGGGAACAACAAGAAGCCGGCTTGTCCTCGGTGAATGAATGCCAACAGTAGAAGCAGGTGTAGTTAGCAGCTATCTGTTACCTACAGTTAGCTAGCTCGATATTACCATATAGCCTTTGAGAGCTGTACGCTTAAGATAATGTAACAAGGCTGGCGTATGTGGACAAAATACCTTCTCCATGATGATGGTAGAAATTTCCAACGTCGAAACGCCGACTTTTGGTCTTGAGTGGCTGTCTGATGGCTAGGCAGTGTGAGTGTGTTACGATTAGCCGCGCTAGCTTACAGGCTAGTTATCCGAGACAGCTGTCCAGATAGGGTGCTCCCGGCAAAGAAAACAACAACCTTCACACACCAGTGGTTGTTTCCATCTTAAATCATAGTGTCCATGAAAAACTTAAACAACACACAGAGAACGTAACCCGGAATGTAATTTCATGAGTTAGCAAAGCTTAATGCAAAGGACTTCTTCAGCTAACATGATGGCTGGATGGTAGCGATGGTCACGCCCTGAAAGTTCCGATTGGTCTATCCCAATATATCCCACGTGGTAAGAGCTTGACCTGACAGCCAATCATTGAACACAATAGATTTGAGCCCCTCCCTAAAACATTTACTCGGAAATACTGGTTCCCCACATGATAAGCTTTATTATAAAAAAAAATACAAGAACTATTACTTCAGTGCTGTACTCAAATGTGAGGTACTTACTGGAGTGTTTCCATGTCATGTTACTTATACTTCAACTCCACTACATTAACAGTAAATCCTCTAGCATACTTATGCAGCATTAGTTACCATATCTTTGTTTTCCAGTGATCTGCAAATTACTTCATTTTGACTTTGAATATTTCTGATAAACTGAAGGATGACATGTTCCTTTTAAGGATTACATTTCCCTCTTGATTAGATGCAAAATGCTTTGATCTTTCTCTCTGCAAAACCCTTGGCAAAGTTAACACGGTTCTAAAACTGCAATTTGGCTTATATCCTTTTTATTTTAAGCAATATGTTTTTTATTCCTTTTTTTATGTACATTGTGGCATAGGCTATTTTTAGCCATCTCTCTCAAAACTACAGTATTACAGTGTCAATGTCAACGGATACTGTTTTTACGGCCATCACATTATACAAAAGGTACACTTTAAATTGACCTAAGTTTTTGCTGCTGGAGAAACACTTAACATTGTAACTAGTTAAGTGGTTTGCTGGCTCCTGCCTCCTGGACTCCTTGCAAATAATTCCCTAGCAACAACAGCCATGGCAACAGCCTCAACAATAGCTCCCATGATGCTGGAGAATAGGTTGCTGATAAGATGGAGGGAAGTATTCAATGAGGAGATTGATGATTCATGTTAAACAGACATGAAAATAGTATAACAATAACTTACTAGAAGATGATAGATGCATTTCCTTCCTTTGTCTTTCTGACTTCATACAATTCCAAAACACATCTTGCAAAATGCTTCAAACTAAATTAAAAGTTAAAATGAACTTTTTTGTAGCACATCTAGCCGGACTCAAGAATGAACAACCACATTTAAAGGGAGAAGTGGCTCATCAAGCTAGTTTTGGACTGATGGAGATCTTCTGTGAGTTTAGCATCCCATAAACTCTGCTCCCATCACAGCGTATTCGGTATTACACCAATTGTATTGTAAAGAAAAACTTTACAGAGAAAACACAGAGAACACAGAGAAAGATTATTGATTGATTTTTGATAGGGCAACATTTTGGTCCACAATATAGAAACAAAGTTATTGTAAAGTTATATGGCTAAATGTTAAATAAACTAATGTATTACACATTATCATTATCATGATATTATTATTATTATTACGAT